TGTTACAATTCTATGGGACTACACAATACACACTGACAGAACAATCAAAGCCAACCGCCCAGATATTGTTATTAAAGACCACAAACAAAAAAGTGCCTCCTTATTGATATGGCAGTCCCTGCTGACTGCAATGTATCTTTGAAGATATTCAAAAAGCTGTCAAAATACAAGGACCTTGAAATAGAAGTCTCAAAAATGTGCCACATGGGATTATCAACATTCCCTGTTGTTGTTGGAGCCCTAGGATTGGTTGGAAAAGATTCCAGTAGACTAATTGAAGGGATTCCTGGAGGTCCATGCCTCAAAGAAATACAAAAAATTGTTCTCACAAGTACAGCCCACACTTTACGAAGGACTTTATCTATGTAATTTTTTTTTTTTTTTTTTTTGTCAGTGGAATGTGTCATGATGCTATTTCTAACCTTAGATCTCTAGGCGGGACCCGGAAAGAAATGTGTAAATGCCAGAAATCAAAGGAAATAATAATAATACAAATATTCATTCTGCGTAGAAAAAAATGTATTCTTTCATATAACTTCTTTCCTTGGCAATGCTCTTAATCCCACGGTTATCACTGATGAAATTAAATGAATATAATACAATGAAAATTTCGATCCACTGGTTTACTGATTTTCGGATTGATAAGATACACGGAAAGGAAACTAAAGAAGCTCCTACAGAAGATTGCGAAGAAAAGCGAGAAGAAAGGACTAAGTATAAACTACAAGAAAAGAGAATTCCTGGTCATCAGTAAAAAGATGAGACCAAAATGCAAATTACGGGTTGGGGAAAACAAAATCAAACAAGTACATAAATTTAAATATCTTGGAAGTGTTCTAACAGAGGACAACACTGAGAAGCGAAGACGTATTGGGATGGCCAAAGATGCTTTCTAAAACCTAAGTAAAGTATTAAGAAAGAGGAGCATATTTTAAAAACAAAGGAACGCGTACTGAACTGTTACGTGATATCTGTCATCCTAGATGACAGTGAATGCTGGACAATTTCCTCAAATAGGAAAAAATTTAAAGTAACAGAAATGTATTTCTACAGAAAGATGCTGAGGATACCATTGGCCGAATATGTGAGTAACGACAAGGTTTTGGAGAGAATGAAAATAAAAAGAAACATACTTAGCATCAGGAAGATGCAGTTGAAATTTCTGAGGTACGCTATGAGGAAGGAGGACTTGGAAAATCTGATTCTCACAGGACAGCTTGAGAGAAAGAGGGACAGAGGAAAGCAGCTCGTAACATATAGGGTGCGATGGATAAAATGTCGTCTGAATGACGCAAATATGAAAATAACACTGACATCTCATTTTAATAGATATATTTACCAAAATTACACAAAAATATCTTGAAATACTAAAGAGTAAATTTATTCAATAAAATCACCATTGGCTTCAATCACAGCTGCGGAATCTGCTGCATCTCTTCTGGTGGGTTTCCTTGTTTAAGTTGGTGAATGCTGCCATAATCCTTTGCCTTCAGTTCATCTTTGGTATTACAAGGAGTTTTGTTGATCTCTCGCTCAACCTCACCCCACACATAACAATCAAGGGGGGGTTGCAATCTGGGGAGTTAGGTGGCCAGATGTAACGGGATGATGTGGCCGAAGAAAGTGTCTGAAAGGCATGACTGAGTTCTCCTTCTTCTGTGGCATGGTGCAGAGTGCTGTTGCCAGGCATAGGGTCTTCTAGCAGCCACCCTCTTGACCCAGGGCAGCACTACCTCCTCAAGTTTTCGGAGTTGCCGTACCTTCGTAATCACCATTAGACTCATCCAACTCTTTCAGAATCCCTTGCTCTGTCCTCAGATTGACACCCCAAAACTCTGAAATGTTCGTATTGGAGCTTCCAGCACGAATACCAAACAGTACAGAATGCTGTTTCCAAATTTCTGGCGCAGTGAATTGCATCATGGTGCTCTTTTTCTCACAGATGGTACCCAACTGATCCTACTATACTGTGCAGTCGTCAAAACTAAAAATATACAGCGCGCATGCGCGAAATTAAAAATATAGAATGGCGACAATTTACTCATCGCACCATGAACTTGATTGGCTTGAGCAAATGGATGACAGAACAAAGTTTTGAAGAAATAACAAAAAGACAAAACTTATTAAGAGCTACAAGGAACAGGAAAATGCGAAGAGCCATGATCGCATACGTCGTAAAAGAAGAATGGTATTATCAGCCGTTTCCCTCTAAGGAAACATTCGGTATTCATTGACCGAACACTCAGTACTGATTTCGGTTGAAATTTATAAAAAAAATTTCTCTTAACACAATTTTTCAGGAAAACAGGTTTTTCAAGTCCGCCCTTTATAGTACTTATGGGTTTTCCTTCCTAATCTTTTAATCTACCAAAAACTGGGACAGAACTCGATTCCCTAGTGGGTGGCCTACGTGACTAACTTACTGACCAATATTGTAGCCATGTTTTTCGTATTTCCGAAAGAAAATTTTATAATCCATAGTATTCAAAATGGCTGTTTGAAAAGCACTCAATTTTTTTTTCATTTTGAATGGCCAATCATCAAGCAATATGCTTTGCCTTCAAAATAACTTTTCCTGATCTTGTGTGAATCAACAAAGAGAATTTCCGTTAAATTTCCCCTGCTGATGTTGATAAGCAATTCTTTCTGTTTTCAGCTTTTGGCAGCCTAAATAAATTATGTTTTCTTTGTCAGATTTCAGAGGGTTTTTCTTCTTTTCTTTGAGTGAAAAGATTTTATAGTGCATGAAGATTCAAGCTGAGGATATAGCTTTTCTTGTATAGATATGAACAGTAAAACAAACCAATGACAATATAAAATTGCTTTTTAACGTAGCCCTTGAGAAAACAAGGAGAAACTGTTTCTAATTAATTCTGACTTACCTCAAATATCATTTTGCTTTATTAAATAAGCCTCCGCTGCCTTGAGGCCACACCCAATCATGAGAACGGCTTCGAGGGTAAACCCTGAGAACAAATCCGGAGCCGGTAAAGAAGTAAGACAGTCCGATTTTATATTCAACTTCTTTCTAGCAACTCATGCGACCACGCCGGTGTCAAGATGTTTCCCTTGGACATCATAAGTGGCAGGGATAGGGGAGACGGGTTGCATGGGCAACCGCCGATCACTCGTAAAAACCTAACCCAGGCCTGCGTCCTGGAGGAGACACTCCAGCGTCGCCTCACTGCGAAGGCAAAACACAGGAAACAACAGGATTATTCCGATGGTTGTTATGGTAGGGGAACTGTCCACCGTCAAGAGGGCACGAAAGTGACCTCATCTCCGCTTCAAGGATATCTTCAAAATGGACATGAAGGTGATGAACATGGACATCGAGAAGTAGGAAGATGTCACTAATGATCTCTCATCCGGGGAGAAGCGTGCTCAAAGAAAACAACACGTCAACATCGGGGGAAAGCCTCTTCGCATGCATTCGTTGCAATCGAGGCTGTCACTCCCATAAGAGATACTCCGTCCCGATCAGCAGCTGAGGCATGAATTTTTGAGAGCAGATCCATGGTCTCTCGAGACCGACAGATAACACACACACACATACACACATTATTTAGTAAAATTAAAAGATTTTTGTCTTTTTTTTTTTAAATGCCCAACATTATGATTATTGGACAAACAGTTTTGCGTTACTGTTTTCTGTCAACATTCAGGCAACTTTATAATTCTGTCCTCTCACAGAATGTTATCTTTTTTACCGAAATTCAAGAGAATTCTCTAAAAGCAGGAACCCGAAAGTTCAATGCCTGCTGAGAATTTCTCAGTCAAGCAGTGAAAATTTGTGACTGGTCACAAAAAAAAAAAAAGATCTATTCGAGTATTATACTGATAGAAGATCAGGTCCTATTTTCTAAACGAATTTCTGATACCGTTTCATTTATTGCAGCTTTCATTAGTAGCAGTCCTTCTTCAAATTAACGGTTTTCTTCTTCGAAAGACGCTCGGACTAATTCCCAATCCTAACATATACACAGCACCATCTTGTTTGAACTAAGATCAACCTTTGCTACGATTAATCGGGGTTCATTTACTTCCTTCGCGATTTTTTTCTGATCTACGATGTTGAAAAATATCAGCTTTTCATCGCTCTTCACAAATTCTTGAAAAAAATGGAAGATGTTCATCAGATTTAAGTAGCGAATCACACAGAGTTATGCAGTCCAACTAAACTTTTGTGGAAGTCACAGATCAAACATTACCAATCTGGAGCAAATTATTTTCAATTCTTGATTTGGATATTTTCAATATGTTGTCGAACTTAATATCTTGATTTGATAATTATAAAACTCAACAGGTTTTCACGACCGTGGACAATGGTTCAGGAAGAAATCTCCTGCACGAAAAAAGTTTGCAAACCACTTTTTACACGTTCGATCAGATACATTATCTTCTCCATAAACTACACAAATCTGGAACTGATTAGTATGGTTTGCATTGTTCTTACTTTTCTTAAGTGTGGCTCATTTTCTCCAATTCTCAGAATTAGAATCAGGAAGCAAAAACGCGACAAATTTGGAATTAAAAATATGCGCACATATGACAGTTATCCAGAAATATATTGACTGAAATGAGTTAAAATAAAACGTCCCCAGAGGTATTTGACAAAACGGACTTTTGGAATAAATCGAAAGTATCAATCTGATTTTAGTTGACCTTTTCTCGCTTTTTATTTAGCGTTTTCTTTCTTTTTTGCATGATTTTTTTTTTCTGTGGATTAATATTAAAAATAATAAAATCTGGAAAATATTTGCTTTCGATCGATCAGCTATACTTGTTTATACAGAAACTTTTAATAAAATAAGTTAAAGTTCATTTGAAAGAAAATAATTAAAATCGTCGAAAAAAAAGTAATTGAGTAAAGAAATAAAAGAAAAAGGAATAAAAAGAGTGAGAGGCAAAGGTAAGAAGTGGGGGGAGGTCGTATCAAACAAAGAAGATGAAGAGGTGTGTGGTGATATAAAAGTTATTGTGTGTGGTAAAAAGGAAAATTATGAGTAGAATGAAACCAACATCAAGAGGGAGATAAAACGTGCAGAGGAGGAGGAGAAAAAAAGGGAAGGCGTGAGAAGTAGGTTGACATGGAATTGGAAATTGCAAAATGGAAAAAAAAAGATTATGAGAAAAAAGAATGTGGACGATGCAGGGAAACGAAAGAGAGGAGGAGGAGGAGGAGGAGGAACGAAAAAGACTGGGGACGATGCAGGGAAACGAAAGAAAGGAGGAGGAGGAGGACTGAAAAAGACTGGGGACGATGCAGGGAAACGAAAGAAAGGAGGAGGAGGAGGACTGAAAAAGACTGGGGACGATGCAGGGAAACGAAAGAAAGGAGGAGGAGGAGGACTGAAAAAGACTGGGGACGATGCAGGGAAACGAAAGAAAGGAGGAGAAGGAGGACTGAAAAAGACTGGGGACGATGCAGGGAAACTAAAGAGAGGAGGAGGAGAAGGAAAGAAAAAGACTGGGGACGATGCTGGGAAACGAAAGAGAGGAGGAGGAGGAATGAAAAAGAATGGGGACGATGCAGGGAAACGAAAGAGAGGAGGAGGAGGAATGAAAAAGAATGGGGACGATGCAAGGAAACGAAAGAGAGGAGGAGGAGGAGGAGGAGGCGGAAGAATGAAAAAGAATGGGGACGATGCTGGGAAACGAAAGAGAGGAGGAGGAGGAATGAAAAAGAATGGGGACGATGCAAGGAAACGAAAGAGAGGAGGAGGAGGAATGAAAAAGACTGGGGACGATGCTGGGAAACGAAAGAGAGGAGGAGGAGGAGGAATGAAAAAGAATGGGGACGATGCAGGTGAACGAAAGAGAGGAGGGGTACTGAAAAATAAAACTGGTTTTGTGATTGGAATCACATAGAAACCGAAAAAGAAATATGCAAATAAAAATAAAAACCAGAAATAAACATGAAGACGAAGAAAAACAGATTTACAATTACAAATCTTAGTCAAGTGCAAAACTAGATAAAAATGGAGATTGCATTGTGAGAATCTTCCATATGCTTAACTTTCAAGATCGACAATTTACACTGACACTGACGAGAAACACACAGCTCTCGAAGTTACCACACAAGCTTGCAAATATCGAATTCATTTATAAGCTATTTGGCGGCCATGATCCTCCCCAACTTCAAGTTCTTTGCTGCACTTAATAACCTCTTATTTACCAGTGGTTTTGCGTATTTTTATCACATTGCAAGCAACGATTTTTTAATATACATCTTATTTTCTATGTGCCGTGTTCCTTCAAGTTGTGGGTGATCATTGTTCTCCACAACGTCCTGTCCCTTGTAGCTCTTAGCAACACCGATCCACATACATACACCGAGTCACATATATACGTAGATAAGAGTACTTACGAAAGTAGATAAACGTAAGAAATTACAACCATATCATTATTTTATCCTTCCGGACATTGGTGATCATGGCTCTCCACAATTTCCTGCCCTTGTATTTCTTACTAAATTTTGTCTTTTTGCTACCTCTCCTAATACCTGTTCTGCCAGCCACTTACACAATCTCGCTACGTAGGTTATTCGCTGCTTTCCTGTCCCTCTAGCTTTCAACATTTCATGTGAGTGTTAAATTTTCCAAGCCCTCTTTCCTCGTTGTACAAATTTCAATTTATTTCTGAAAGATAAATAGGTAGGTACTTTTATTTACGTAGATACGTAGGTACTCGTATTTAGATATAGAGGCAGGTACTTATATTTAGGTAGATGGGTAGGTACTTGTATTTGGGTAGATAGGTATGTACTTTTATTTAGATATATAGGCAGGTACTTTTATTTGGGTAGATAGGTATGTACTTTTATTTAGATATATAGGCAGGTACTTTTATTTGGGTAGATAGGTATGTACTTTTATTTAGATATATAGGCAGGTACTTTTATTTAGGTAGATACGTAAGTACTTGGATTTAGATATATAGGCAGGTACTTTTATTTTGGTAGATACGTAGGTACTTTTATTTAGATATATAGGCAGGTACTTTTATTTAGGTAAATTCGTAGGTACTTGTATTTATGTAGATACATAGGTATTTTTATTTTTATCATTTTCAATATGTATTAATACATATTACTACCTCGGTCCCATGATAATTGCTACATTTTTTATTTTTCATTTGATCATTGGCAACACTTATTAATAAATTGTACCGTTGCTATCCAATCATAATTTACCCTTTTTTTCTTTTGATTGTAATACTAATTGAATGTTATTTTTATATCACCGAATAAATCTTTCGTGTTCTTACGTTTAATTGTGACAATACTATTTTTAATTACCTGATGTTTCTTAAAGCGGACAGTCCAAAAGTAACCAGAAAATTAAATTTTCAAAGTTATACTTACCGTATAGATATATTTTAGCAAATAAAGTTCAATTGTGAATGGAACTGAAAGAAAACGTAAGGCAAAACATGAAATGGCAGTTAATATTCGCAAAGCTGTTTTACAATCTTTGTTAGAACGTTCAAAATATGTAAAATTGATGCATGAGTCCAAAGTACCATTTGATGTGACCCTGAAGTCTAAAATGCATCAGTTTAAATTAAATTTAAATATCTAGAAAAAAAAAATAACGCCTTCAACTATTTCTTTAATAGATTATTTTAATTTAATCACTTTATGCTTTCTTTACAAATGTAATCAATGAATTCGGGAAAAATTACATAATATAAATGTCACAAATAATATGAAACAGAGGTAATATATTATTTATTCGATAAAAGAACTTTTGTCCCAAAATAATTGCTACATTTGTCTACACATTTCATACATTAATGTACCAACTATTATGGGATAGACGTAATATATTATTAATTCGATAAAAGAACTTTTGTCCCAAAATAATTGCTACATTTGTCTACTCATTTTATACACTAAATGCACCAACTATTATGGCACAGACGTAATATATTATTAATTAAATAAAAGAACTTTTGTCCCAAAATAAGTGCTCCATTTGTCTACACATTTCATACACTAAATGTACCAACTATTATGGGACAGGCGTAATATGTTATTCATTAGTAACAGATTTTTTGTCCCAAAATAGTTGCTACATTTGTCTACACATTTCATACACTAAATGTACCAACTATTATGGGACAGGCGTAATATGTTATTCATTAGATAACAGAATTTTTCGTCCCAAAATAATTACTACATTTGTCTACACATTTCATTCACTAAATTCACTAACCATTATGGGACAGCTGTAGTATATTATTTATATAATACACTTTTTGCCCCATAATGATTGATCGATTTTAATACACATTTTAAGCACTAAATGTCACAATCATTACGGGAGAAGGGGTAATTCCTAATTATTTCTTTCAAAACATGCATCATATAAAATGGTGTAACATATAAATTTCCTTTTTATATATGACGCTGAAAACAATTACATAAAAGCATATATTATTTGAAAATTCGTCCATTCATGTCTTTAAGTGAATTGACGTTGCTCGATGTGACGACATGCAAAGTACATTCTTATGTATTTTGTTTTTACTTGTCAACTTTTTATTCCTGACATTTGATAAGAAAAATCTAAAACCACTTTGAAAATGTCACTCACCTTTTAAGAAAAGAAGACAAGTCATAGAAATAAAAAATAATTTAGGGTTTTATCTTTAGTATCACTTCAACATAATAAAAAGTCAATTTATACTGTCAGTCTGCTTGATGACATCGCTAGTAAACCAGTGTCTCTTCTCTGCATGAAAGACACCATTATCAAATTCACCTTTAATACAGAAATTCTCTCTTTTGAAAACCTCGAGTAAGTTTAAAACCTGCGATAAATGTAGGTACCACCACATAAAACGCAATACTTAAGGTTTAAAATGAATATTTCAAAATGAAAAATTTTTAAGTTTTTATTTTAGTTTTAATTGCAAGTTAATAGATTAAATTTAATATTTGCAATAAGTAAAATTGTTGTCTGTATTTCAAAAACTAATTTAAATTGCCTGAATACTTTTCTTTTTTTCTTTTTTTGGTAAAATAGCCGATGAGCGCCCTTTTTTAGTCGTCCTTCATCGCAATGTAATTCTCTTTATTAAAAAATCTTCCAAGAATAAAACTGAAACTTTATTTGAAGAATATTAAACAATAATTAATCTGATTTGAAATGAATATTATTTACTTTAAGTTTAAAATATCACAGAAATGCTTTTTTTAACCTGACAATAGCTGTTTATTTAAGGTGTTGAACTGTTTAGCAGTTTGATGACAGGTAGTTGTTTATGCAATGTTATTCTATTGGGCTTTGGCCATAAAATAATTGAATGTGAGCCTGCTTTTATATATAGTACTCAATAATCTTTAAAAAATATTCTCCGTGATTTAATTTTTTTATTGAATTTTGGAAATTTTTGATTTAAATGTTACTATAGTTATCACTCTTATGTTATGATAATGTCGTGTATGGACACTCGTATCTACTAAAAATCCGCATGTTGAAACATACAAAAAATTCAAAATTCTTTTAAAAGTATTAGTGATTGATGATTTATATTAAGATATTCCATTCATGGATTAGTAAATACATTTTTCAATTAATAATATCATCAAAAAGGTTGAAATTAATAAAGATTTTAAAAGATTTAAACTTATTCTAATTAATTTTTTTTTTTAAATGAAAACAATTCTTGTAAAAATTATTATCATTATTATTATTATTATTATCATTATTTATCGAAAAATGTTTTCTGAAGATAATAATAATCCTTAATATATCTTATTTATAAAACTAATTAAAAGCTTTTCTAATTAAATAATGTCATAGTTTTATTGCATTTTTTATTTTACCATTCAGAGCAGATTTCGGTAAATGGTGTTTCTGCTTGGCAAAAACAAATTGATGATTTAATCTTCAAGGATTTCTGCTTTTAGCTAATATAAATATGAAGAGATTGAATTTTAATTTCTAAAAGTTTCTTAAAATTAAGTAAGTGCAGGCAACAGATGCAAAAATTATATATATATTCTTATCAAGATTTTCTAAAAAGAATTTCTAAATCAATGTTTTTAACGTCAAAAAAAGACGCTAAAATTTCCAATACTAATCTTTTGCCCAGCCGCTGAAAAAACAAATTTTTTAAACAAAATTTTGAACGTGCTAAAGAGGATACAAAACTTATAGAAAATAATCCAAAAATTCTTTGGCATTTCCTCTTAATAATAACATAAACATTTTGACGATAAAACTTTGTTTTTATCAAGTTTGAGTCAATTTCATCATGGTATGCTATTTTTAGCGAATTTTTGGAGGTTCCTAAATAAATGATTACAAACAACGAAATAGCGTATTTTAGATTAATTGTGACTCCATACGATATCATAAAATTGAAGTATTTCAGTCCTGCCTGGAAGTACCAGAAGAGCCTGAATCGAATTTAATCTCAATTAGCAACCTTTGCTCAAAAGAGAATTTGCTCTAGGATGACACCAATATGTACTGGGCCATAAGAAATACCAAAGAAAATTTCGTTCTTAGTATTATACCAGAACATCAGAGAAGTCAATGAATAATTTTAATAATATGTGAAAATAACCACTATTTGCCTGAAGACCGGAAACCCCAAAAAATGGAAAATGAAGTATAATATATATTTCAAAAATAGACACAAATACACACACACACACATATATATATATATATATATATATATATATATATATATATATATATATATATATATATATATATATATATATATATGGTGGATTCTTCCGTCGAGATCGACGTATGAGGTTCCGACGATCACGAACTAATTATCTGCATGCCTACGACGGGCATGACTTTTGAGACCGGCTCGAGAATTGCACAAAAGACCACAAACAAGTACAGGAGAATGTATTGTATCAGAGAAGTTAATGAATATAATGTCATAGTTTTAATGCATTTTTTATTTTACAATTTAAAACAGATTTCGGTAAATGGTGTTTCTGCTTGGCAAAAACAAATTGATGATTTAAAAGCTAAAAACAAATTGATGATTTAAAAGCTAAAAACAAATTGATGATTTAAAAGCTAAAGAAGTACAACATTTGATATAGCTGCACTGAGAAGTAAGCATCAGTCGACTCGTTTCAACGAGAAAGCAAAATAAAACTGTGTTCCTGCTGCATGCACTTGAACACTGTTTTATTTTGCTTTCTCTCGACTGATGCTTAAGCTATATCAAATGATGTACTTCTTTAGCTCCAATGCGACCAGAGCTGTTTTTCTTTCTGGTGCTGAGTTGTTGTCCCGGAGAGTTCGTACATTCCAAGTGCCAAGATGAAGTTGATGTTGTTTCGTAGAGTTTTTCGCAGTAGCCGGATATGTGTGGAATTAATTAGATGTAGTTGTCAGAAAACCAAATTACGAAAA